CCTCTCTGGAGGAAGAAGCAGGAGGGTTCTTCTGTGCCTTCTTGCTAGTAGCTTACAGCAGCCATCTCAGCCCTCAGAGCTGCATTTACAGGGCTTGGGGCTCCCCCAGCCTGGGTGAATGAGACCCCCAGCGCATTCTGTGGGCTGGGAGCAGCATCCCAGAGCATGGCCCGGGCTGGGAGCAGCATCCCAGAGCATGGCCTGGGCTGGGAGCAGCATCCCAGAGCATGGCCCGGGCTGGGAGCAGCATCCCAGAGCGTGCCCAGGCTGGGAGCAGCATCCCAGAGCATACCCGGGCTGGCTGCAGCCCCTCTCTCCTCCCCAGGTTGTCCAGCCTCCTGCTCCTGACTCACCTTCGCCTGCTGGGGAGCGTGCCTCAGCTCCGGCCCGCCAGCTGGGCACTAAATATAATTCCCCTGTGCTTTTCTGAGCCAGACACACATGCAGCCACGGGGGTGGCTGTGTCACACTGCTTGCAGGGGCCACGGCTGCCCCGGTCTGTCTTGCCAGGAGGAAGTTGGCAGCCCCAGCTGTGCCAGCCCCAGCCAGGACACAGAGGAGCCTGGCACCAACTCAGCTTGGAGCACCCTGTCCTTGGGATTTTCTAATCCCCCTTTTTCCTTACAGGCAGCCAGAGTTTGGTGGCTTCTTGCCAGGGTGCTTGGAGCTGCCAGCTCCTCTCCAGGGCTCTGACCTGGGGGTTCCTGGTCCTGTCCAAGCTGAGCAATCCCAATTGCCCTCCTCTGGCCACCGTCTGGCTCTCGGGGTTGTCCCCAGGTCAGTTCTGAGCCAGACACACATGCAGCCACGGGGGTGGCTGTGTCACACTGCTTGCAGGGGCCACGGCTGCCCCGGTCTGTCTTGCCAGGAGGAAGTTGGCAGCCCCAGCTGTGCCAGCCCCAGCCAGGACACAGAGGAGCCTGGCACCAACTCAGCTTGGAGCACCCTGTCCTTGGGATTTTCTAATCCCCCTTTTTCCTTACAGGCAGCCAGAGTTTGGTGGCTTCTTGCCAGGGTGCTTGGAGCTGCCAGCTCCTCTCCAGGGCTCTGACCTGGGGGTTCCTGGTCCTGTCCAAGCTGAGCAATCCCAATTGCCCTCCTCTGGCCACCGTCTGGCTCCCTGGATCCCCACAAAGCTGGGCCCAGGGGAAGCAGGGACGATGCCTGGCACTGCCTGGGCCCTGAGCAGGGCGGTGGGTCCAGCCCACGGCAGCGAGGGGATGGGCAGCTCCTCCACCCAGCAGCTCCTGGAGCTCCCTCCGTGCTGCCTGAAGCGTGGGCTGGCCCTTTCCCCTCCTCCTGCAGGGTGGCACTGCAGCTCCCACATCCCACGGGGGTCCTCGTGCCCCCCAGTCCCCCTGCTGTGCCTGTGCCCCCTGCCCATGCTCCTGCAGGGACCTTCCCCGAGGTGCCACCTTCCAAACCAGCTCTGCTCAGCATCCTGGCATGTCACCAGGTGCCACCTCCTGGGGACCCTGCCCTGTGATCCCCTGGCACTGGGCTGAGCCAGCTGCTGCCCTGGAATTAGGGATTAACACCTAATTATCCGTGTGATAATCCTCTGCCCAGACCGGGAGAGGGGGAGCTCAGAGGGCACCCTGAGGCGCAGGGTCACCGTGGGGACCCGGGTGGCTCCCACAGGGCCACCTCAGGGTGCTGCAGCAGGAGCAGGGCGCTGGGGCTGGGTGACCCGAGCTGTTCCCTGCCTCGGTGCTCCCGGGAGGAGCAGCTGCCTGGTGCCCGCGGCAGGTCCCTGGTGCCCCCGGCAGGTCCCTGGTGCCCCTGGCAGGTCCCTGGTGGCCCCGGCAGGTCCCTGGTGCCCCCGGCAGGTCCCTGGTGCCCCGGCCAGATCCCAGGTGGCCCCGGCAGGTCCCTGGTGCCCCCGGCAGGTCCCTGGTGGCCCCGGCAGGTCCCTGGTGGCCCCGGCAGGTCCCTGGTGCCCCCGGCAGGTCCCTGGTGGCCCCGGCAGGTCCCTGGTGGCCCCGGCAGGTCCCTGGTGCCCCCTGGCCTGGGCTGGGAGCAGCATCCCAGAGCATACCCGGGCTGGCTGCAGCCCCTCTCTCCTCCCCAGGTTGTCCAGCCTCCTGCTCCTGACTCACCTTCGCCTGCTGGGGAGCGTGCCTCAGCTCTGGCCCGCCAGCTGGGCACTAAATATAATTCCCCTGTGCTTTTCTGAGCCAGACACACATGCAGCCACGGGGGTGGCTGTGTCACACTGCTTGCAGGGGCCACGGCTGCCCCGGTCTGTCTTGCCAGGAGGAAGTTGGCAGCCCCAGCTGTGCCAGCCCCAGCCAGGACACAGAGGAGCCTGGCACCAACTCAGCTTGGAGCACCCTGTCCTTGGGATTTTCTAATCCCCCTTTTTCCTTACAGGCAGCCAGAGTTTGGTGGCTTCTTGCCAGGGTGCTTGGAGCTGCCAGCTCCTCTCCAGGGCTCTGACCTGGGGGTTCCTGGTCCTGTCCAAGCTGAGCAATCCCAATTGCCCTCCTCTGGCCACCGTCTGGCTCTCGGGGTTGTCCCCAGGTCAGGGATCCCCACAAAGCTGGGCCCAGGGGAAGCAGGGACAGTGCCTGGCACTGCCTGGGCCCTGAGCAGGGCGGTGGGTCCAGCCCACGGCAGCGAGGGGTTGGGCAGCTCCTCCACCCAGCAGCTCCTGGAGCTCCCGCCGGCCCTTTCCCCTCCTCCTGCAGGGTGGCACTGCAGCTCCCACATCCCACGGGGGTCCTCGTGCCCCCCAGTCCCCCTGCTGTGCCTGTGCCCCCTGCCCATGCTCCTGCAGGGACCTTCCCCGAGGTGCCACCTTCCAAACCAGCTCTGCTCAGCATCCTGGCATGTCACCAGGTGCCACCTCCTGGGGACCCTGCCCTGTGATCCCCTGGCACTGGGCTGAGCCAGCTGCTGCCCTGGAATTAGGGATTAACACCTAATTATCCGTGTGATAATCCTCTGCCCAGACCGGGAGAGGGGGAGCTCAGAGGGCACCCCGCGGCACAGGGTCACTGTGGGGACCCTGGGCTGGCCCTTTCCCCTCCTCCTGCAGGGTGGCACTGCAGCTCCCACATCCCACGGGGGTCCTCGTGCCCCCCAGTCCCCCTGCTGTGCCTGTGCCCCCTGCCCGTGCTCCTGCAGGGACCTTCCCCGAGGTGCCACCTTCCAAACCAGCTCTGCTCAGCATCCTGGCATGTCACCAGGTGCCACCTCCTGGGGACCCTGCCCTGTGATCCCCTGGCACTGGGCTGAGCCAGCTGCTGCCCTGGAATTAGGGATTAACACCTAATTATCCGTGTGATAATCCTCTGCCCAGACCGGGAGAGGGGGAGCTCAGAGGGCACCCTGAGGCGCAGGGTCACCGTGGGGACCCGGGTGGCTCCCACAGGGCCACCTCAGGGTGCTGCAGCAGGAGCAGGGCGCTGGGGCTGGGTGACCCGAGCTGTTCCCTGCCTCGGTGCTCCCGGGAGGAGCAGCTGCCTGCTGGCCCTGGCAGGTCCCTGGTGCCCTGGCAGGTCCCTGGTGCCCCTGGCAGGTCCCTGGTGCCCCTGGCAGGTCCCTGGTGCCCCGGCAGGTCCCTGGTGCCCCGGCAGGTCCCTGGTGCCCCTGGCAGATCCCAGGTGCCCCCGGCAGGTCCCTGGTGCCCCGGCAGGGCTGTGTGGGTGCGGCGGGGCTCAGCGCAGCCGTTTGCCGTGGGAGCGCGGTGGCAGCGCGGTGGCAGCGGCTGTTCCGAGCCGCTTTTCCGGTGTGAAACTCGGCACCGCGCCCCGCTCGGGGCTGGGAGCTGCCGGTGCCAGCGCTGCTGCTCGCACCCCGCGCTGGCTGAGCTGCTGCTGGCCGAGGGACCCGCGGTCCCAGCAGGAAGGACCAGCCCCGGCCCCGGGCGCTGGAGCTGGCGTCACCCGCGTGTCCCCGCGTGGTGAAGTGAATCCGTCCTTCCTCTCTGGGTTTTCCTGCCTGCCCGAGCCCCTGGCACGCTTTCTGGGGGTGATGGAAAGTGTGATGGGGCAATTTAAATTTTCCTTGTTATCAGCACTCCCGCAGAATGGAATCTTTGTCTCACGTGAGGCGTCGGGCGAGGGGGAAATTCCCCTCCCACCTGTACCAGCCAGGGCTGGCTGTGGCATCCCCAGCCCCTTCTGTGGGGCTGTTCCCCCTTGCAGCCCCCTGCTCCAGGGCTCCTATGCCCCCTCAGGGCTCCAGACGTGGCTTGGGGTTCCTCTGCCCCCCAGGCTGTAGGATCCTTATCCATCACCCTCGGTGTGGTGGGAGAAATAGAGGAAGGGAACTGGAGCCAGTACCTGCTGTGGCTGCCGGGGGTCACTGCACCCACAGCCCCCCGCTTTGGGGTGCTGGGTGTGGGCTGGGGACCCTCACAGGGGACAGGCCTGGCCCCTGGCTTGTCACAAAGGCTGAGCTCTGGGGACAGAAGCAGTGAGCTGGGGGTGTGGGGCTGCTGGCAGCATCTCCAGGCTCTGTTACTGCCTCACCAGAGGTGGTGCTGGGGGGCAGGATGGGGCCCCTCCGGTGCCAGGGCGTGCTGGGTGAGCTCTGCAGCACAGCACCCGCCCCGGCTGCCACCCTTCATGTGGTTTCCTCCTCCCTGCTGCTGTTGTGGGCGAGGGGGTGCAACACCCGGTGAATTCCCTGTGCCCTGGGGCCACCTGCAGCTACCTGGGCCAGGGGATCTGCCTCTGGTCGAGCCTTGGCCCATCCTCGAGGAGTCCCCTGAGCACCCCAGCACCCACTCATATTTGCTGGGACCCCGTGGCTCCCTCACACCCTGTATCTCCATGAAGGTGTGAGCCCTGTGTGCCCCTGGCATCACCCAGCTCTGCCCAAGCCACCCCTGGGGCGGCCTGCACAAGGAGCCAGGGTGCAGAGACCCCCGGGCTGTGTGGGGCCAGGGCAGAGCTTTGGATGGGATAATGGGATGATGGGATGGGACGGGATGGGATGGGATTGGATGGGGTGGGATGGGATGGCATCACCCAGCCCTTGGCCTCTTCCAGGAGCGCAAGTCGTACAAGTGGAAGCAGCTGCTCTTCTTCTTCACCTTCATCACGTTCGCGTTCGCCGTGTGCGTTTACTTCCACCACAACTGGTACTGCGGCCCTGGAGGTGAGGGGGCTGCTGGGGGCATGTGGGGAAGGGGCTGGGAGGTCACAGAATCACTGAATCACAGGGTCATTAAGGCTGGAAGAGATCCCTGGGATCAGCAAGTCCCAGCTGTGCCCATGGCAGACATCCTTCAGATCCCACGTGGCAATCCCAGAGTCCCCTCCCAGCCCAGGCAGTGCCAGCTGTGTCCCACGCCCACCCTGTGACCAGCCCAGAGCACTCAGTGCGACCTCCAGGGGACACCTGCAGGGATGGGCAGCCCCTGCCAAGGCCTGACCACCCCATCTATGAAAAAATTCCTTCTGGCGTCCTATTCTTCCTGATGTCTGACATCCTCCTAATGTGGTGCCTTGCCTTCCAAATCCCAGCCCAGGGAAGCTCCAGGTGCCCAGCCACGCTTCTTCCCTGGTGGGGCCAAGCCCCCCAGCCCTGCTCTGCTGTCCCAAGCAGGTGGCCCAGACTCCCCCCCAGCTCCTGGGGCACATGCAGCTGTGGGCCCCCCTCACCTGCTGTGTTTCCTCCCCCAGTGTACACTGTCTTCGCCTTCCTGGAGTACCTGGTTGTGCTCTCCAACATGGCCTTCCACATGACTGCCTTCTGGGACTTTGGCAACAAGGAGCTGGTGGTGAGCTCGCTGCTGGAGGACAAGCACTTCTAGCCAGCCCCGCTGCTGGGGCTCCTCCTCCCTGTCCTGCCAGGGCTGGGTGTTTGCTGTGGAGCTGCTGCCAGGACCCTGCCGAGACCCCCGAGTGTCTGTCCCTGCTGCAGGACACCCTGTCCTGGCTCCTGCCAGCCCCAGGAGGGCAGGACAGAGGAGGAGCAAGGACCTGCTGCCTGTTGCTTTGGAGAATGCTCCAGGGAGAGCAGGATGCTGCTCCTGGTATCAGGGCACGGGTCCAGCCCTGCCCTGTGCCAAGGCCTGACCACCCCATCTATGAAAAAATTCCTTCTGGCGTCCTATTCTTCCTGATGTCTGACATCCTCCTAATGTGGTGCCTTGCCTTCCAAGTCCCAGCCCAGGGAAGCTCCAGGTGCCCAGCCACGCTTCTTCCCTGGTGGGGCCAAGCCCCCCAGCCCTGCTCTGCTGTCCCAAGCAGGTGGCCCAGACTCCCCCCCAGCTCCTGGGGCACATGCAGCTGTGGGACCCCCTCACCTGCTGTGTTTCCTCCCCCAGTGTACACTGTCTTCGCCTTCCTGGAGTACCTGGTTGTGCTCTCCAACATGGCCTTCCACATGACTGCCTTCTGGGACTTTGGCAACAAGGAGCTGGTGGTGAGCTCGCTGCTGGAGGACAAGCACTTCTAGCCAGCCCCGCTGCTGGGGCTCCTCCTCCCTGTCCTGCCAGGGCTGGGTGTTTGCTGTGGAGCTGCTGCCAGGACCCTGCCGAGACCCCCGAGTGTCTGTCCCTGCTGCAGGACACCCTGTCCTGGCTCCTGCCAGCCCCAGGAGGGCAGGACAGAGGAGGAGCAAGGACCTGCTGCCTGTTGCTTTGGAGAATGCTCCAGGGAGAGCAGGATGCTGCTCCCGGTGTTGGGGCACAGGGTCCAGGCCTGCCCTGTCCTTTCTTGGCCTGGGGGCTCTCATGGTTCCTCCTCCAGGCTGGGGGTCTTGGGGCAAGTCCTCAAAAAGGCTGGTGGCCTTTTGGGCTGGCTTCAGGCGCTGGTCTCCCACTGGACTGGGGCAGGGTCCTGGCCCATCTGTGCCTGAGAGCCCAGGAGGGCAGCGGGAAGGTGCTGGGCTGTGCAGGGACTGCCTGGAGCAGGGTGGGGCACATGGGGCAGAGCAGGGTGGCAGCACACAGGGCAGAGCAGCTGCTGGGAGCATCCACGGCTCACTCCTGCCTTTCCCAGAAGCCCCCCCAGCTGCACAGGCTGTTCCAGGGGTGCTGTGCCCCTTCCAGCCCAGTCTGAGGAGGAAGGGTGAGTGTGCTGGTGCTGGAGGTCTTTGCCCCAGTGTCCCCATGTCTTCCCCTGTGCCGTGGGGCTGGGAACTGCTGGGGTTCAGCAGTGGCCCCAGTGTGCAGCTCTGGCTGCCAGGGCACAGGGGACATGGCTGGGTGGCAGATGGGGGCTGACAGTGTCCCCAAGCTGCTCCTGCAATGCTGCTGGAAGGGGCACCTGGAGCTACCTTGATTTTGGGGAGGTCTGCACTTGCCAGGGCTCGTCCCACCCCATGTTTGGCAGTGAGGGTCCCTCCCTGCCCTTCACCTGAGCACAGCCACCACCGAGAGTCCCCTGGGGTGTCCCAGTGCCCATCCCAGGGCTGGGCAGAGCCTCCTGCAGCGGGAGCTGCGGGGCCCTGGCAGAGCTGGGGCCGAGCTGGCTTTGAGCAGGTCCTGCTGCACGTGTCCATCGTCAGTGTCCCCACCCGTGGGCTCCATCCGTGTCCCTGCATGCGTGTGACGCGCTGCCCCGCGGCGCCTTGGCTTTGAGGTGGAAATAAAGCACTGAGTATTTTTGTGAGCTCTCAGCAGCCTCCATAGCATTTCCACCTGGCCCAGCCTGGCACGGCCCTGGCACGGCCCTGGAACAGGCAGCAGGTCCAGACCAGCACCTTGGGCAGGTTGGGGGCTGGAGTGGGGGGCAGGACGTGGACTCTGGGGCTGCAGTGTGGGAGGTGGATCCTGGCTGTTGGAGCTGGGGTGCAAGATGTGACCCCTGGGTTCTGGGTGTGGGGTATGGATCCCTGGAGCTGGGGCTCAGGATGCAGATCCCTGTAGGATGTGGATCTCTGGGGTGTGGAATGTGAATCCTGGGGTGTGGGGTATGGATCGCTGGGGTGTGGAATGTGAATCCTGGGTGTAGGGTGTGGATCGCTGGGGTGTGGAATGTGAATCCTGGGGTGTGGATCTCTCTCTGGGGTGTGGAATGTAAATCCTGGGGTGTGGGGTGTGGATCACTGGGGTGTGGAATGTGAATCCTGGGTGCTGGGGTGTGGGGTGTGGATCCTGGGGTGTGGAATGTGGATCCTGGGTGCTGGAGTGCAAGATGTAGAATATGAGATTGCTGGGGTGTGGGGTGTAGATCCTGGGGTGTGGAATGTGAATCCTGGGGTGTGGGGTGTGGATCCTGGGTGCTGGGGTGTGGGGTGTGGATTGCTGGGGTGTGGGGTGTAGATCCTGGGGTGTGGAATGTGAATCCTGGGTGCTGGGGTGTGGGGTGTGGATTGCTGGGGTGTGGGGTGTAGATCCTGGGGTGTGGAATGTGAATCCTGGGTGCTGGGGTGTGGGGTGTGGATTGCTGGGGTGTGGGGTGTAGATCCTGGGGTGTGGAATGTGAATCCTGGGTGCTGGGGTGTGGGGTGTGGATTGCTGGGGTGTGGGGTGTAGATCCTGGGGTGTGGAATGTGAATCCTGGGTGCTGGGGTGTGGGGTGTGGATTGCTGGGGTGTGGGGTGTAGATCCTGGGGTGTGGAATGTGAATCCTGGGTGCTGGGGTGTGGGGTGTGGATCCTGGGGTGTGGAATGTGGATCCTGGGTGCTGGAGTGCAAGATGTAGAATATGAATCCTGGGTGCTGGGGTGCAGGGTGTGGATCTCTGGGGTGTGGAATGTAAATCCTGGGGTGTGGATCTCTGGGGTGTGGAATGTGAATCCTGGCGTGTGGGCTGTGAGTCCCGGTTGTTGGGGTGTGGATCCTGGGGTGTGGGGTGTGGATCCTGGGGTGTGGTGTGTGGATTGCTGGGGTGTGGGCTCTGGGTCCTGCCTCTTGGGGCTGTGGTGTGGGACGCGGCCCTGGGTGCCGGACGGAGCCCGGGAAGGCTCGGCGAGGCTGGAGCCGGCCAGGAGCCGGGCTGGAGGCGTGGGACGGAGCCCAGCCCGCAGCCGCCGGCCCCGCTCCGCCCGGCTCCTGGGAACGCCGGCTTGGCTGCGGATCCCGCAGATCTCAGGGATGCTGCGGGGCCAGGGCCGGCACAGCCCCGGGCACGGGGCCGGGAGCCGGGAGGGCCGGGGCTGGGCAGGGGCAGGGGAGTGCCGGGGGCTCCGTCCCCCCTGCCCCGGGCCATGGCGGGCCCTGCCCTCGCTGCGGCCGCCCGGGAGCGGCTGGGAGGGGGAGAGCCGTGAGCTCATCCCGCTGTGCCGGGCAGGGCAGGGCTGTGTCCCGCTCGTGGCATCACCGGGTCCCCTCCTCATCCCTGCACCCACTGCTGCACCGAACCCCACCGGGTGGCACCTCGCCAGCCCCGCAGTGGGACAGGACGTGGCTGTGGGGATCCCACTGTGGGACAGGACATGGGGATCCACCACTGTGGGACAAACATGGGGATCCACCACTGTGGGACAGGACGTGGCTGTGGGGATCCCACAGGGGGACAGGACATGGGGATACCACTGTGGGACAGGACGTGGCTGTGGGGATCCCACTGTGGGACAGGACATGGGGATCCCACTGTGGGACAGGGCCATGGGGATCCTCCTGTGGGACAGGACATGGCCGTGGGGATCCCACAGTGGGACAGGACATGGCTGTGGGGATCCTCCTGTAGGACAGGACATGGCTGTGGGGATCCCACAGTGGGACAGGACATGGCTGTGGGGATCCTCCTGTGGGAGCAGGACGTGGCTGTGGGGATCCACCACGGCCAGACCAGGACAGGGCTGTTGGATGCCCACGGTGGGAGCAGGATTTGGAGCAGCAGGGACCCGCGAGCCCCGGGCTGTGCAGCGGCCCTGGGGCTGTGTCCCCTGGGGCCATGTCCCCGGCCGTGTCCCCTGTCCCCCGGCCGTGTCCCTGGCCATGTCCCCTGTCCCCTAGCCGTGTCCCTGGCCGTGTCCCCTGTCCCCTGGCCGTGTCCCTGGCCGTGTCCCGTGTCCCTGGCCGTGTCCCCTGCCGTGTCCCCTGTCCCCTGGCCGTGTCCCCTGTCCCCTGGCCGTGTCCCCTGTCCCCTGGCTGTGCCGCAGCCCCGGGAGGCTGCAGGGCGCGGCCCCGGCGGGCCGGGGCAGGGCCGTGTCCGGAGCCCGGGCTCCGAGCCCCCGGCCCCGCTGCCCACGCCTGCCCCGGGCCCGGCTGCAGACGAGCAGGGAACAAAGGCGGCTTGTGGCGGGCGCCGGCTCTGTGTCCTTCCTGCAGGACAGCCCCGGCAGGACAAGGGGCCCGTGTCCGGAGCTGGCCGCCCGCCACCACGTGCCGGGGGGGCGCCGAGGGGGTGGCGACAGCGGCTGGGGATGCCACTGGTGCCACTGCCGCTGCCAGCCGCAGGACACCAAGGACACCCCTGGCATGGGGGCACAGGGCTCTGCCCTCCACTGCCACCCCAGAGGCGGCACTGGGGCTGGGGTGGCTGCCCGGGGGGCACCCCGCTCGTGTGCCAATTCCTGCAATGTCCCCATTCCCACACAGTTCAGTGGCCCCATGGCCACCCCCTGCACTGTCCCCACTGCTGTCCCCTACAGTGTCCCCAAGCCCCCGGGTGGGAGCTCAGCGGGGCCCACAGAGATGGTGGGGTCAGGACTGGCCATGGCAGGGACACCCCAAGGTTCCCCTGGCAGTGCCCCCAGAAGAGAGCCCTGGCAGGCACCACGAGCACCCTCAGCTGGGCCCTGGCACGCTGAGGGGTCCAGCCCAGCTCGGGCCAGGGACACCCACGTCCCTCCAGGGAGTGTCCCCATGCCCAGGAAAGGTGGGTGTGTGTGGGAGAGCACAGGACACGGGGGGCCTGGGCAGGTTTTTATTTAAGGAGAAGCGGCTCTGGGGGCAGCTGGTTACAGGCAAGTCCTGCTGCCCTGTGGAGCTCCAGCACCAGCCAGGGCAGGGACTCTCTACTCTGGCCACACTGGCTGTGCTCTCAGCAGGGCTGCAGGTGCCTGGTGTGGGGCTCACCCCAAACACCCCCCAGGAGCCCCTGGTGCCGCCAGGAGGATCCCGGGGCAGGATGGGGCAGTGCCAGCGAGATGCTCAGGGCCGGGTGAGTGCCAGGGCTGGCGCAGAGGGGCTGGGGACCCCCTGTGCCCCAGCTGGCGGACAGAGTGGAGGTGGCAGGTCCCCGCGGGGTGCTCGGGGCCGGAGCGGGCTCCGGGCATCCCCTTCTCAGGAAGCGTTGCTGTGCCAGGACCGGAGGGGCGTCACCGCAAGCGGCCGCTGGCAGCCGGGGCGGGGAGCCCGCTGCCCCGGGCGCGCGGCCAGTTAGTGCAAACAAGGTCTGTGTTATTCAAGCTGGGGCTCTGGGTCCCACCGAGCTCGGGGAGGGTGGCGGGGGGCAGCAGGTGTGTGGGGCACGGGGCGGGGCAGGATCGTCTCTCGCCGGCCCGTCACAAGAGCACACAGGGCTTCTTGGGCTTGGCCGGGGCGGGGTTGAGCACGGCCCTCACGGCCTCGGTGAACACATCCTTGATGCCCTCCTGGTTGAGCGCTGAGCACTCCAGGTACTTGACGGCGCGGATCTGCTTGGAGAGGCTGATGCCCTGCTGGGTGGTGATGGGCGCCTGGTTCTGCTCCTTGAGCCGCTTCATGGTCTCGGGGTTGTTCCTCAGATCCTTCTTGGTGCCCACGAGGAGGATGGGCACGCTGGGGCAGTGGTGGCACACCTCGGGGTACCACTTGTGCTTGACGTTCTCGTAGGAGGGCGGGCTGGCGATGGAGAAGCAGATGATGAAGACGTTGGTCTGGGGGTAGGAAAGCGTCCGCAGGCGGTCGTACTCCTCCTGGCCGGCCGTGTCCCACAGGTTTAGGTTTATAGTCCTGCCGTCCACCGTGTTCTGGGCGCTGTAGTTGTCGAACACGGTGGGGATGTACTCCTTGGGGAAGGCGTTGGTGGTGTAGCAGATGAGCAGGCAGGTCTTGCCCACCGCCCCGTCGCCCACCACCACGCACTTGATGCTCTGCATCCCGGCGCTCCCGTGTCCCCTTCAGCAGCCTGTGGGAACAGAGCAGGTCAGGGAGGGGGCTCTCCAGGGCTGGGTCAGTCTGGTCCCCCCGCTCTGAGACCCCGAGGGTGGGGGCTGCACGAGGATCACACCCCCTGGTTCACCATCCAACCCAGATGAGCTTCCCAGGCAGGCAAATCCCCCTGACAGAGACCCCCCAACGGGGATCTGCCACCATGACAGGGACACGTGTGTGCCACCACAGCCAGTGCATGGGGACCACATCGTCCCCAGGGCGCTGCATCCATGGCAGCCAGGCTGTGGCAGCACCCTGTGCCATGCCGTGCCGTGCCATGCCGTGCCGTGCCTCGCCTTCAGCCCGGAACGGGACGGAGGGCAGCAGGGCAGGCAGCAGGGCCACGGCGGGGCTGTGGCAGCCCGTGGTGTCATCGTTTGTGCCAGCCCCATGCTGCCATGCCATGCCGTGCCGTGCCTCCAGCCCGGAACGGGACGGAGGGCAGCAGGGCAGGCAGCAGGGCCGCGCCGGGGCTGTGGCAGCCCGTGGTGTCACCGTTTGTGCCAGCCCCATGCTGCCCCAGCAGGCAGGGCCCTGCGGGTCCCGGCGGGCAGCGCCGGGCTGGCGTGGCCCCGGGGCCAGCGTCCGCTCCGGCAGCTGTGTTTATCCCCGATCCCGGCGCGCGTCTTCCTTCCTCAGGTTCCTCTGCAATTCCCATTACGGGCTGCATCCTGCTGCCCTTCCTGCTGCTGCTGGCCGGGGCCGGGCGCTGCCCAGCCCTGCCCAGCCGAGGCGGGGGCACCCCACGCTGCTGGGCTGGGGACGTGCCCGCCCTGGGGCCGGCAGCGCCTTTCGCACCGGGACCCGACCCGTGCCCAGCCACGGATCGCTGCAGCCCCGCTCGTGTGCCAGTGGCAGGCAGGGAGCAGAGCGCCGGGGCAGAGAAGCCGCAGTGTCCCGAGTCCCGGGCTGGGGGTCCCGGAGCCCGCTGAGTCCCCGGGCTGGGGAGGGGAAGGGCCGAGCCCCCCGCCCGAGCCCCAGCCCGTCCCTGCCCCCTCGCATGGGGAAGTCGCTCTTCCCCTTCCCGCCCTGACAGCGCTTCCTGCGGCTGTGCCGTGACCCCCGCCCTGCTGGCCGAGCCCGACCCCCGGCACGGGCACCGGGGGCTGCCGTGCCTCCGCTTCCCCCGGGCAGCCGCTCCCGGGGGCAGCGCACCCCGCATCCCTGCTGTGCCCCGGGGAGCAGCGGGGCGGCACGGGCGGCCCCCATCCCCATCCCCATCCCTCCCCCTCCCCATCCCCACCCCCGCAGGAAGCCGCCGCAGGGTCCCCGGGGGCCACGAACACACTCCCGGCCTTTGGCCTCCGGCTGGGGAGCAAACACAGCCCGGAGGTTTCCTCACACCGGTGCTCAGCTGCAGCACTGCGGGGACACCGGGGGGAGAAGGGACAGAGGAGTGGCAGCAGGAGCAGACTGATGGGGACGGGACCAGAATAAAAGCCGTGGGATCAGGATCGAGGAGACCAGGACAGTGGGAGAAGGAACTGGATCAGGGGGAGCTGGAGCAGGACAGGGGGAGAAGGAAGTGGGTCAGAGGGATGGGAACAGGAGCAGTGTGGAGAAGGAGCAGGGCAGCGAGAGGAGCAGGATCAGGGTCATGGGGCCAGGATTAGGACTGTGGGAGACTGAGGTCCCTCTGTGGCTGCACAGGGGACATGCACTCACCACAGGGGCTGTAACTGCCACCCACGTCCCTTGTGCCCCTTCTGCCCTGCAGCCACCCCCTCCCCTGGCCCAGGGCTCCCAGGGCAGCCATCCCATCCCATCCCATCCCATCCCATCCCATCCCATCCCATCCCAGTGCCCTTCTGGGAAACGGAGAGGAGGAGGCAGAGGAGGAGAGGAAGGAGGAGGAAGAGGAGGATAAGGAGGGGCTCGAGGCCAGGGGTCACTTCTCCATCCCCCAGCACCCCGGGGGTGTGCAGCCCCAGTGTCCCCGGGTTTGTCACCAGCACACAGCAAACGTGGGCACGCACCACACAGGACCCGAGGGCTCACACAGGAGCGTTTTGGCTCCTGCCAGCCCTGGCACTGCCAGCAGCAGGCAGAGGTGCCCGGGGCACACCGAGGGGACCCACACTCACAGGGCAAATGCCTCGCTGAGGAGGGGGCTTCGTGTAGGGCAGAGCCCCCACAGCAGCCCCAAGTCTGTCGGGGTGCCACAGAGGGCATGTGGGTGCCAGGGGGGCTCTGGCTCTGTCACAGCCACCACATCACAGTCCCAACCGGCCCCCCACGCCAGCCAAGCCCCCACTCACACTCATCTTCTCAGGGAGGATGAGGAGGGACCGGTGCCCTGCTCCTGGAGGCCCTGTGTCCCCCAGCACAGGAGGTTGGCAGGAGCCCTGCCAAAGGAACCCCATTCCCGGACAGGGCAGGGGGCCCCGCTGCCCTGGGGGACACGGGGTGGGTGCCTCGGCCCTGCCGTGCCCGCTGCCAGCTCCGCTGCCGGCACAAGGCCAGCTCTGTTCTCCCGGAGATCCGCAGCACTTTAACCCCTTCTGCCCCCGGGATGCCGGGGTCAGAGTGGCCTCGTGGGGCTGAGGGACAGCCCGGGGACACAGCCAGGGGGGCACAGCCCGGGGGACACAGCCCGGGGGGACACCTGTCCCCTCCCAGCCCCACTGAGGGGGCCCGGGCAAAGAAGGGTGGAGCACGGGGGGCTGCACCCCAAGCCCCCCCGGCCCCGTCCTCCCTGCGGTGGCACTCGGGTGGCATTGGGGGGCTGGGGAGGCGGCAGGGGGGGCTGTGGGTGGCACACAGAGTCCCCCCTCCCATCGCCACCCCTGGCACGGGAAAAGCGACTCATCTCTTCAGCAGAAAAGGGAAGCAAAACCCTCTGCCAGCGCTGCCGGCCGGGGCAGCCCCCGGGGGTTTTCCGCCGGGGAAGTGGAGCAGCCGCCCCCGTGAGCTGCCGGTCCCACGGTCCCCAAAGCCGGCCGGACCGACCCCGCACGCTCCAGGCACCCCTTCCCCGCCCCACTGCGGGCACCGCACAGCCCGCCGTGCCCCCGTGCCCCTCCCCAGCCGCCGGGTCCATCCCGGCCCCAGGGACGTGCCCGGGACCACCCCGGGCTGGGCTCACCAGCCCCTCTCACTGGGGTCACCAGCCCCGGTCACTGGGGTCACTCCTGCTCTGAGGGACAGGCACAGCATCGCCCCCTCCACCCCGGCCCTGCAGCCTGCTCAGCAGCAGAAAGAGGAAATTAATAAAGCTACCAAAATCTCCAAATCCCACGCAGGGACCCCAGAGGGTCCACGGCCATGGTGGGGATGCAGGGACCCCCCAGGGGCCCCCCAGCTCTGCCCCAGCTCTGCCGTGCAGCTGAAATAGCTCCCATGCTGAGTCGGAGGATTGTGATTTCCCTCATTTTCCAGCTGTTGTGACTAATTTCCTCATTTTATTTCCCTCCCGGGCCAGGTCCCGCTCTGCCCTCGCCGCAGCCTCGGCCACTCCCGGCCCTTGGCCTCTGCCCCAGGCGCTGCCACAGCTCTGCAGCCCCGGGCTGGAACCAGAGCCAGACCCATCCCGGGACATGGGGACACCCTCGGGACCCCCTCCGTGACCTGGGCACTGCTCCAGGAACCGCAGGGCTGGGTCAGGGGGGTCCTGGGGGTGGGGGATAGAGGGATGGATCATGGATGGATGGATGGATGGATGATGGATGGATGATGGATGGATGGATGGATGATGGATGGATGGATGGATGGATGATGGATGGATGATGGATGGATGGATGATGGATGGATGATGGATGATGGATGGATGGATGGATGGATGGATGGATGGATGGATGGATGATGGATGATGGATGGATGGATGAATGATGAATCCTGGCAGGCCAGGCCAGGCTCCATGGCCACGGTCAAACCAAACCAAACCCACTCCCACACATGAGGGCACAGCCCAAACCTGCTCCAGCACAGCCCAGCACCTCCACAACTGCCCCCAGACCCCCCTGGCGCCTGGGCCAGCCCCCTCCCACCACAGCCCCTCCCTTGGGCCCCCTCCCGCCACAGTCCCACCACAGCTCATCCCCAAAGGCCACAAATGCCACCTCAGTACCTCAGTGGCTTCTCCTCCCCCCGAGCCAAGCGGGGGAGGCCCAGCAGCCCCCAGCCCCCCCGCAGGCTCCAGGGGACCCGCGGGTGTCCCCACGCTGACTGAGTGACCCAGTGACCCCGGGGGAGCCCCCGGGAGGACCCCGTGACAAGCACCGGCAGCAGGAGCCCTGCGGGGACAGCCCTGGCACTTCCTGGCTGCTGCCCACGTGTGGCAGCGCCTGCGAGGGATGCGGGGGGTCACCGGGGGGGTCACCCAGGGGGGTCACCCAGGGGGGTCGGGGAGACCCCCGGGCCCGGGGGGTGCCGGAACCCTCCTCCTTCCCTCCCCAGCCCTGAGCCCCCCAGCCCCACTCCTGCCCCCCACTCCTGGCACTCATCCCTGACCCCACCTCTCCACCCCTGACCCCCCCTTGGTCCCCGAGCCCCCGCTGGGGACAGGGACACCCCGGGACGGGCACCGGAGCTCGGGGGGTGAGCGGGGAGGGGACCCCACCCCAGCCGGGGCTGCCTGGGGACTCAGGTGACACCCCCTGCCCTCGGGGTGGGCGTGGGGAGGGGGTGACACCGCAGGGGTGACACCGCAGGGATGGCAGCACAGGGTGACAGCACACAGGGGGTGACAGCAAAGGGGACCAGCTGCCCCTGGGGGATGTGGGGCTCCCTTGCAGCACCCCACGGCGGAGCAGGGGGTCCCGGGGGTGCCCCCACCCCGAGCTGTGCTGGGGGCTGTGCGGGTCCCCAAGGGCAGGGTCCCCAAGGGCAGGGTCCCCCCGAGGGCCGGGTCCCCCATCAGTGCCCGCAGCCCGGGAGGGTCCCTGGGGCAGGGGGGACACCCGGGGGCGGGGGGCAGCCATGGGCTGTGCCCGCCCTCCTCCCGGGGTCTGCGGGCTGGGACGCCCGCCCAAGGGTGGGACCCCCGGCCCCTGCCCAGGGCCAGCCTGCGCCAGGGACAGGGGTGGCACTGCTCGGAGCCACAGTGCGACAGGTGTGACGGGTGTGACAGGTGTGACAGGTGTCAGCTGCCCGTGCCCGTGGCCCCTGGGCACGCTGGTGGCCGCGGTGCAGCCGTGCCACCACAGCACGCGGCCCTGGCGGGGTCACAGCTCCAGGGGTGTGGGAATGTCCTCAGCCCCAGCGGGGAGCAGGGACCGCGTGCTGGGACCCCGAGGTGTCAGCGCAGAGACACGGAGGGTCACAGCGGGTAGGTGACATGTTGGGGTGGGTGACACGTCAGGGTGTGTAGGTGACACGTTGGGGTGTGTCAGGTGTCGGGTGTGTGACATGTTGCTGTATGTCACATGTCATGCTGTGTCACGTGTCAGGGTGTGTTACATGTTGGGTGTGTCCCATGTCACGGCTTTGTCCCGGTGTGTCCCTGTCCCGGTGTCCCTGTCTGTCCCGGTGTCTGGTGCAGTGCCACCACAGCACGCGGCCCTGGCGGGGTCACAGCTCCCGGGGTGTGGGAATGTCCTCAGCCCCAGCGGGGAGCAGGGACCGCGTGCTGGGACCCCGAGGTGTCAGCGCAGAGACAGGGAGGGTCACAGCGGGTAGGTGACATGTTGGGGTGGGTGACACGTCAGGGTGTGTAGGTGACACGTTGGGGTGTGTCAGGTGTCGGGTGTGTGACATGTTGCTGTATGTCACATGTCATGCTGTGTCACGTGTCAGGGTGTGTCACATGTTGGGTGTGTCCCATGTCACGGCGTGTCCCCTGTCCCGGTGTGTCCCGGTGTGTCCCTGTCCCGGTGTCCCTGTCTGTCCCGGTGTCTGTCTGTCCCGGTGTCTGTCTGTCTCCGCCCCCTGTCAGCGCGCGCGCGGCAGCGCCAGGGCCCGGTGCGCAGCGCCGCGCGCGGGGGGGGGGCGGACGAGACCACCGCTGCGGCGAGGTGGGGGGGTACGGGGCTGTCCCGACACAGACAGAGCGGGGTTTTCCGGGAAGCACCGCTGCCAGGAGGCGGCGGAGGGACGGAGCGGGCCGGGGAGACCCTAGCGGAGGTGGCGGGAAGCGGGATTATCCCGGCAGAGCGGAGAGGGACCGGCGGGGTTACCCCGGGAAGAGACCACTGGGGGCGGGGGGGGCTGGGGCTGTCCCGGGAGAGACCACTGCGGGGCGGG